GTCAGGGAAGTCAGTGAGCGGTATGTCAGGGAAGTCAGTGAGCGGTATGTCAGGGCAGTCAGTGAGCGGTATGTCAGGGCAGTCAGTGAGCGGTATGTCGGGGGGCAGGTCAGTGAGCGGTATGTCAGGGAAGTCAGTGAGCGGTATGTCGGGGCAGGACGGCGTGAGCGGTATGTCGGGGGGAAGTCACGGCGTGTGAGCGGTATGTCAGGGAAGTCAGTGAGCGGTATGTCAGGGAAGTCAGTGAGCGGTATGTCAGGGAAGTCAGTGAGCGGTATGTTGGGGCAGGGTAGCCATTATGCTGTATGTCGGGGCGGGACGGCGTGTGAGCGGTATGTCGGGGCGGGACGGCGTGTGAGCGGTATGTCGGGGCGGGACGGCGTGTGAGCGGTATGTCGGGGCGGGACGGCGTGTGAGCATATGTCAGGGCAGAACAGTCAGTGAGCGGTACGTCGGGGCGGGACGGCGTGTGAGCGGTATGTCGGGGCAGGACGGCGTGATGAGCGGTATGTCGGGGCGGGACGGCGTGTGAGCGGTATGTCGGGGCAGGACGGCGTGTGAGCGGTATGTCGGGGCAGGACGGCATGTGAGCATATGTCAGGGCAGGACAGTCATTAAGCGGTACGTCAGGGCAGGACAGTCATTAGTGAGCGGTACGTCAGGGCAGCACAGTCAGTGAGCGGTATGTCAGGGCAGCACAGTCAGTGAGCGGTATGTCAGGGCAGGACAGTCAGTGAGCGGTATGTCAGGGCAGGACAGCCATTAAGCGGTATGTCAGGGCAGGACAGTCAGTGAGCGGTACATCAGGGCAGGACAGTCAGTGAGCGGTATTCAGGGCAGGAAGCATTAAGCGGTATGTCAGGGCAGGACAGTCAGTGAGCGGTATGTCAGGGCAGAACAGTCATTAAGCGGTACGTCAGGGCAGTCAGTGAGCAGTATGTGGGGCAGAAGCGTATCATGAAATCAGTGGGCCCTAGGAATTGAAAAAGCTACAAATGCAGTGTAAAGTGCACCGCTGTGAAAAGTGGGTGTGGTTTAAATTGCGCTAAATCTTCTGCATGGCTTAAAGGGGGTGTGGTTAAATAGAGCCGAGATGACTTCTAGTGCAGAACTGTTTTTTCTTAGTTTGTGTTATCAAATTTTGCAAATAAGTAATTTTTCTGCATCACTGATGTGTGCTGATGAGACTGGACTGATGAGGAGCCACTGATGAGGCTGCACTGATAAGGAGGCACTGATAAGGAGGCACTGATGAGGCTGCACTGATAAGGAGGCACTGATAAGGAGGCACTGATGAGGAGCCACTGATGAGGAGGCACTGATGAGACTGCACCGATAAGTTGCCCTGATGGGCACTGATAGGCAGCACTGATGATCAGTGCCCTGATTATCAGTGTAAATGTGCCCTGTCACACTTGCCAGTTACTTTCTCTCCATTCCTGACAGCGTTTGAGGAAAGGAATGCTGATAACTGGCAAGTTTGTTTACATGTGATCATCTGTGATTGGACACAATGGTAAAGGGCCGTTGTGATTGGCCCTTTACCTCGATCTGTGATCAGCTATATCTGAAGGTCACAGCTATCCCAGAGGGCACACGAGAGACGTGCTCCGGGAGGCCCTTCCAGAACAACCAAACGATTTCCCAGCAACACTCACCAGCCAGCCTGCAAAACAACCAATTTGGCCATCTAACAGTTTGCATTAACAGAGGGTTTTGTTTGCACACATTTGCACATACATGTGTAAGCCGCAGTCCCACGTCATGGGTTCTCTGTATACTGCGCACCTAACTGACATTTCCCTCCATAGTAGGGGCACATGTATCAATGGAGAGGTAAGGGGCCGGTGTGCCTGGAGGACCCATCCCTCCGTGACCACTTGGTAACCGCACTAAAGCCGAATGAGGGCTACATCACGGCTGTCCGGTTCTGGGAGGGCGTCGTATGACGTCCTCCCAGAACACGCCCTCCCACGTGCCCCCAGCAGCGCACACCTGGCGATCTTTGTGATCGCTGTGTCCTATGGATACAGCTGATCACGTGATGAGGTAAAAGTCCAATCACAGCAGCCTTTTACCACGTGATCAGCCGTGTCCAATGACAAAGCAGATCACCAAGTAAATACAGTTGCCGGTTATCAGCTGCGCTTTCCTGACACTTTCACAGAGCAGATCTGCACTGATCATCAGTGCCCTGCAGTGCAGTGCCACCCACCAGTGCCACCCAGCAGTGCCACCCAGCAGTGCCTCCCAGCAGTGCCTCTCCCAGCAGTGCCACCCAGCAGGGCCAGCAGTGCCTCCCAGCAGTGCCACCCAGCAGTGCCTCCAGCAGTGCCTCCCAGCAGTGCCCAGCAGGGCCACCCATCAGTGCCTCCCAGCAATACCTCCCACCAGTACCCAGCAGTGACACCCATCAGTGCCACCCAGCAATACCCAGCAATGACTCCCACCAGTGCCCAGCAGTGCCACCCATCAATGCTGCCCAGCAGTTGTGCCCGCCAGTGCCCATCAGTGCTGCCTGTCAGTGCCATCAGTCAGTGCCCATCAGTGCTGCATATCAGTGCAGCATCATCAGTGCCTCCTCATCAATGCCTGCCAGTGCCGCCACATCAGTGCAGCCTATCAGTGCTACCTATCCGTGCCACCTCATCAATGCACATCAGTGAAGGAGAAAAATTTCCTGTTTGCAAAATTTTATAAAAGAAACAAAGAAATACTTTTTTTTGTTAAACATTTTTGCTATTTTTTTTGCTTATATCACAAAAAATAAAACCCTCAGCGAGGAGTACATACCACCAACAGAAAGCTGTATTTGTGTGAAAAAAATAATAAAAATTTCATATGGGTACAGTGTTGCATGACCGCACAATTGTCATTCAAAGTGTGACAGCACTGAAAGCTGAAAATTGGCCTGGGCAGGAAGGGGGTGACAGTGCCCGGTAGGCAGGAAGGGGGTGACAGTGCCCGGTAGGCAGGAAGGGGGTGACAGTGCCCGGTAGGGGAAGGGGGTGACAGTGCCCGGTGGGCAGGAAGGGGGTAGAAGTGCCCGGTGGGCAGGAAGGGGGTAGAAGTGCCCGGTGGGCAGGAAGGGGGTAGAAGTGCCCTGTAGGCAGGAAGGGGGTAGAAGTGGCAGGAAGGGGGTAGAAGTGCCCTGTAGGAAGGAAGGGGGTAGAAGTGTCCTGTGGGCAAGAAGGGGGTAGAAGTGCCCGGTAGGCAGGAAGGGGGTAGAAGTGCCCGGTAGGCAGGAAGGGGGTAGAAGTGCCCTGTAGGCAGGAAGGGGGTAGAAGTGCCCGGTAGGCAGGAAGGGGGTAGAAGTGTCCGGTAGGCAGGAAGGGGGTAGAAGTGCCCGGTAGGCAGGAAGGGGGTAGAAGTGCCCGGTAGGCAGGAAGGGGGTAGAAGTGCCCGGTAGGCAGGAAGGGGGTAGAAGTGTCCGGTAGGCAGGAAGGGGGAAGAAGTGTCCGGTAGGCAGGAAGGGGGTAGAAGTGCCGGTAGGCAGGAAGGGGGTGAAGTGTCCTGTAGGCAGGAAGGGGGTAGAAGTGTCCGGTAGGCAGGAAGGGGGTAGAAGTGTCCTGTAGGCAGGAAGGGGGTAGAAGTGTCCTGTAGGCAGGAAGGGGGTAGAAGCGATCGGTGGGCAGGAAGGAGGTAGAAGCGCCCGGTGGGCAGGAAGGGGGTAGAAGTGCCCGGTGGGCAGGAAGGGGGTAGAAGTGCCCGGTGGGCAGGAAGGGGTAGAAGTGCCCGGTGGGCAGGAAGGGGGTAGAAGTGCCGGTGGGCAGGAAGGGGGTGACAGTGCCCGGTGGGCGAGGGGGTAATCCAGGACCACAGGACACAGCAGAAGGACCCGGTGACGCTCTTACATCACAAGCGCAGCGCGCTGAATCCAGGACTTCTGTATGTCCCGCCACGCCCCCGCTCGAGCCCCGCTGTTCCTGTCACATGATGCCGCCAGCCAGACTCCAGGAGGCTCCAGTCCTCGGCATCCCCATCCTCCGCCCTTGCGATTTATCGAGGCGAGGACCAGGAACAGCAAGCTGACAAGGCGGATCGCTCTGCCAGGCACTTCCAGCGGCTGTGAGCCGGACCCACCCGTGTGTGTCAAGTCCCAAAATCTGCCGGCCTGCTATTAAAGTGTTCCTGAACCCCCAACAGTACAATCAGTCTGTAGATGCAGTAAAGCATGCTTGTTATACTCACTGTGGGACCTAAGGGGTTAATCCTCTGCATTGTGGGAAAAAAAGACTGTTTGATCCTGTCTTCTCTGATCTTCTCCTTCTTCCATGTTTCCCATTTCTTCTCCTGATAGAACACAGCGTCAGAGACACTCTGCACATGCTCAGTTTGGTGTATATTGCTAGAGAGGTTTTTTTCTTTTTCCTGAAGGTGCATGTGAACAACACGGTGGTTTTTACCATACAAAGTCCCAGGGGGATGTTTTTAGTTTTTCTTGGTCTATATACATTGGGATGTTGGCAAAAAAAACAGTTTAAATGGTGGGATATTTTACCATATCGCTTTATTTTTGCATGTGATCAGCACAGGGCCAATCAGCGCTGTCCAGACAGATGGTCAGGGGTCCAGCAGCCTCATAGGACAATCAAAGCAGAATGAAAACTCCTACAATATTTAACCAGTGCTCTGCTGGACACTGATAGAAGTCACAAGACTGCTATATACTGCTGATGAGAAAAGGTATTTAGCAGTTTAAAATCACAAAAATAATTGCATTTCCATGTTCTGTGTACTGTGGGAGAGCGGATATAGTGAATGCGGGGTCCGGAGAGACCAGATATAGTGAACGCGGGGTCTGGGGAGAGCGGATATAGTGAATGCGGGGTCCGGGGAGAGCGGATATAGTGAATGCGGGGTCCGGGGAGAGCGGATATAGTGAATGCGGGGTCCGGGGAGAGCGGATATAGTGAATGCGGGGTCCGGGGAGAGAGATATAGTGAATGCGGGGTCCGGGGAGAGAGGATATAGTGAATGCGGGGTCCGGGGAGAGCGGATATAGTGAATGCGGGGTCCGGGGAGAGAGGATATAGTGAATGCGGGGTCCGGGGAGAGAGGATATAGTGAATGTGGGGTCCGGGGAGAGAGGATATAGTGAATGTGGGGTCCGGGGAGAGAGGATATAGTGAATGCGTGGTCCAGATAGAGCGAATATAGTGAATGCGGGGTCCGGGGAGATTGGATATAGTGAATGCGGGGTCCGGGGAGAGCGGATATAGTGAATGCGGGGTCCGGGGAGAGCGGATATAGTGAATGAGGGGTCCGGGGAGAGCGGATATAGTGAATGAGGGGTCCGGGGAGAGCGGATATAGTGAATGCGGGGTCCGGGGAGAGCGGATATAGTGAATGCGGGGTCCAGGGAGAGCGGATATAGTGAATGCGGGGTCCGGGGAGAGCGGATATAGTGAATGCGGGGTCCCGGGGAGAGAGCGGATATAGTGAATGCGGGGTCCGGGGAGAGCGGATATAGTGAATGCGGGGTCCGGGGGGAGAGAGCGGATATAGTGAATGCGGGGTCCGGGGAGAGAGGATATAGTGAATGCGGGGTCCGGGGAGAGCGGATATAGTGAATGCGGGGTCCGGGGAGATTGGATATAGTGAATGCGGGTCCGGGGAGAGCGGATATAGTGAATGCGGGGTCCGGGGAGAGCGGATATAGTGAACGCGGGGTCTGGGGAGAGCGGATATAGTGAACGCGGGGTCCGGGGAGAGCGGATATAGTGAACGCGGGGTCCGGGGAGAGCGGATATAGTGAACGCGGGGTCCGGGGAGAGCGGATATAGTGAATGCGGGGTCCGGGGAGAGCGGATATAGTGAATGAGGGGTCCGGGGAGAGCGGATATAGTGAACGCGGGGTCCGGGGAGAGCGGATATAGTGAACGCGGGGTCCGGTGCTTAGTAATACTTTAATTAAAGCAGAGCTCCACCCAAAAAGGGAAGTTCCACATTAAGGACTGGTTCCCCACTCCCCTTTAAGGATTGGCACCATTGGGGAGCAGGTACCCAAAACTGACAGGTACCCGCTGCTCCCACTCCCTCCCTGTAGTCTTCTGACAAATGACAGGTCCAAGAAGACTACAGGAACATTCAGACAGTGCAGCTACTTGTGGGCACCCGGAACATCCACAAGCGGTCACAGTCGGGAGCCCACACTGAAGATGCCGGTGTCGGGAATACAGGACGGCCGGTGAAATGGGCTGCGGGGGACACACCACGGGACCAAGGGACAGGTAAGTGGCTGTTTTTTAAAAGTCAGCAGCTACAGTTTTTGTACAACTACAAAAAGCAGGTCTTTTCTTTTCTAACATCTCACCCCCACATATACACACCCAAGTAGAACTTCACACCCCACATCTTCCTCCTTGTTTATATAATCTCAAAGAACACTGAACACTTTGGGGGTATTTACTAAAACTGGAGAGTGCAAAATCTAGTGCAGCTCTGCATAGAAACCAATCAGCTTCCAGCTTTTATTACCAAAGCCTAATTGCAAAAACTGAAGTTGAAAGCGGATTGGCTCCCATGCACAGCTGCACCAGATTCGGAGTTTCACCAGTTTTAGGAAATCTACCCCTATGTATAGAATAAATCAAAATGAACACCGGATACTATGCATATAATAGATTACATAGTTAGTCTGGCTGAAAAAAGACAAAAGTTCATTTAATTCAACCAAAAAAAAAGTTATAATCCTACAGTATACCCGCCATTGATCCAGAGGAAGGCAAAAAAAAACCCAGCAAAGCACGATCCAATGTGCTCCTGCAGGGGAAAAATGTCCTTCCTGATCCCCCGAGAGGCAATCGGATATTTCCTGGATCAACTTTACCTATCTGAGACCAAAAAGAACATTGGACACTTTGTATATAACAAATCAAAATGATCACTTTATATGTAATAAATGAAAAAGTAAATAGGACACTCTGTATATAATAAATAAATCATGTTTATATATTAAATCACCTTGTTATAAAACAGTATATTTCCTTCATATACAGATCAAACTGTTCAGTGCACTAGCAAGAAAAAAAAAAAAAAAATAAAGGAAAAAATAAAGGAGAAGTAAAAAAAAAAAAGAAAGAAGAAGAGAAAAAATAAAAAAAAGAAGAAAAAAATGAAAGAAAAAAGGATAAAAATAGAAGAAAAAAAGGAAAAAAAAGAAAAAAAAGGAAAAAGATAGAAGAAAAAAGGATAAAAATAGAAGAAAAAAAAAAAGGAAAAAAACAGAAAAAAAAGGAAAAAAAAAAAAAGGAAAAAAGAAAAAGGAAAAAAAAATAGAAGAAAAAAAGGATAAAAATAGAAGAAAAAAAGGGATAAAAATAGAAGAAAAAAAAAGGAAAAAAAAAAGGAAAAAAAAAGGGAAAAAAGCAGAAAAAAAAGAAAAAAGGAAAAAAAAGGATAAAAATAGAAGAAAAAAAAAGGATAAAAATAGAAGAAAAAAGGAAAAAAAAGATAAAAAGGAAAAAAAAGGGGAAAAAAGATATAAAAGGAAAAAAA